CCGGGGGTCCAACTCGGGTCCTTGAGCTTTCGCAGCAGGTGGCAAAACCACTGAGCTAAATCCCCAGCCCTGCCCACACATTTTCTTTAACTCAGAGATAAAAACCACTTAGGAGTTTAAGATTCGGATTGTGTCTCTGGCCAGAGACAAATTAGGACCCTTGATAAACAAAACCACAAAATTAAGGCCTGGGGAGCTAATGATTTTATTTTTTGATGCTTGTGCACCTATCAGTTCCACCTTTAAAGCTAATCAAATGTTCCCCCCTAAATATGGGGTGATCCAGTTTCCCTACACATCATGTGGGGGCATAAATTGAAAAAGAGAATATACCAATAATGACAAATGTGTGTGCATCTGGGAAAATAACCCGGGGGGTTCATGCCGAGATCCACCAACCAATGGTTGCCCCTATTGGTCTTGTGTAAAATGGGCCACCTGACAGATGCAGTCTCCTTTAAAAAAACAGAGACCCGGCTCCCAAGTGGGTTCAGGACCTATAATCCAGTCACTATCAATGTCATAGACCCCCAGGCCCCAAAATGGGAGGAGGACAAAGACTTCAGACTACAGATAAATGGGAGTGGTTAGGACTCTGAGGCACTGATCCCTATCAGGAGGCTTCCATGATAATAACCTCCGGAGATCAAAAACAGCCTTGCCCCGGGGGGATTTAGCTCAGTGTTCTGCCTCCTGCCTCATAAGTGGAAGGACCTGAGTTCGATCCCCAATACCGAAAAAAGAAAAAATCAAACAGCCTCAAGGTCTTATGAGCTGATATACACCAATCTGTAAAAGATTCTATAATCATAGATATTAATAAAATAAAACATGATGTGAATGATAAAAGTTGGTATAAAAGGTGAGGCTCTTCAATCAGAGCCTCAAAGGGCAGAGTGAGAGAGGAGACCGCCCCTCAATATGGAGTTGGACAACTGCGAGGTGACCGTGTTATTAGGCAACTATGGCTAAGTGGGTCACTGCGCTCTTTGCAGAATGCACCTGGGCAGCCATGACAGATTCTGTAATCTGTCACCAAAGCAGCGTAAGGGACTCAGAAAGTTGGCCAGAGCTCTTTGCTTTCTCCCACTCCACTGCTCTGCTTTGTGTAAACTCTCCTTGCTATATGCCCAATATAGCAATGGGAAACACCAATGGAATTAAGCCTTGTAGATGTAAAAAGAGGTCTATAAGGAAGCACAAACTTCTATTCAGGGCTCTCGAGACTGACAGGAGTCACTCACTGAGCCGCCAGCATCATTAAAAGCCACTTTTTGCTCCTTTCTTTGTGTTAAAGAGTTATCTATGCCGGGGTCCTCACTGTTTCCTATTTCAGCAGCACCCAGGACCCCTGAATTTCCCAGCATTTCCACCCCTTTGAGAGAACCTTAAATGGTCCCCATTCTAGGAAAAAGTTTCTTGGTGTGTGTACTGGTTCCCATGGGAGAGGAAGACAGGACTCCTCATCCGCCCCAAGAAGCGGATCTGAGTTGGTCAGGATTGGCTCTAGCCTGGCTCTCTCTGCCTTGGAGCCCTGGCCAGGCAGATGGGAATGGCTGGATGTCCCCTTCCCACGTGCTGGCCGTGTTCGTCTCCAAGGCCCATGCAGGGTGGGCAGAGGTGCCTCCTGGTCCACAGAGACTGCCTTCTCCCGTGTCCACAGGGTAGGGGCAGGTGGCTCCCTGGGGCCTCCACCCTCATAGTCTTAGCGCTCCAAAGTCCTCCTCTCCCAGCTGGTCTCCTGGGGGTGGGGGTTCAGAGTGTGGGTTCCAGGGGACACAGACAGACCTTTAAACTGGAAGTAGATAACTAACCCTAAGGAGCCCCCAGGTCTGTGTGGGCCACTGGTCCTTTGATGTCCCCCAGAACCTACCACCCATGGAGAGAGGTGTGACGTGTGTGACACGTCCCAGTCCCTGCCCCACAGTGGACACGAGGGCCCCAGGCAGGGCAGCAGATCAGCAGCCACAGAGTCCTGGGCAGTGAGGCTATGGTTGGGGAGCCTGAGCTTTGGGGGTGTCCATTGTGCCCAGAGAGAACACAGCAGGTATGTGGTGTCTCCTGCCCCTGCTCCCCACAGCTGGCCAGAGCAGTGGGGTGAGACCCCAACCTTTCTGTGAACCCAGAGACCCAAACCAACAACATATGCCACACGAAGGACCTGGCTAAGGCTGGGCCAAGGGGGTTCTTGTCCCCCTTGCTCACTGGCCAGGCCTGATGGCCCTGGGACCACTCTAGGGAACCAGAAAGCCCAGAGCGGCCAGAGCCTGGGCAAAAGAAAGGCAGATGGAGTTGGAAGCCTCAGTGGGAGCTGAGGAAGGGGCAGACAGATGGACAGAGACACATGGCGCAAGCCTCATGAGAAGCCACCTCTGGGAGACCAGGTGTCTCTGTGGTCCTGGGGCTCAGAGCTGAGGTCCAGGCCAGTAAGAGACCCGGGACTGGGGATGCTGGGGAGTCTGGAGCCTGTGCCTGTGAGGTGGCCATCCGGAGGCTGAGGGGCAGCCACTGCACCATCTTCTCTCCCTGGAGGACTGAGGTGGATGTGCCCCAGCGGATGTTTGGAGAGGTGCCAGGCTGCGAGAGACTCCTGCAGCAAGTCTCTAGTCCCTTCCTGCCCAGTATGCGATGCAAGGTTGAAGAAAAACTTAAGACAAAGTTAGAGCGAAAGCATGAACTGGGACAGCCAGTGGTCCTTTGGCAAAAGCCACTGGCCTGTCTCTTCCACCGAATTTTATTATTCATCAATCAGGGTAAAAGGTGCAGTATATGAAATTACCATGGAAACTAATGCAGGGAAGGCTTTAAAGAGAAGAGTCAAAGCATTTTCAAATTAGAAGGAAGATAGACAAAATAGATGGTTGTAATTGGAGCATTGCCCTTCAAACTATGAAGGCACTAATTGTGGAAATGGAGTTTGGGTGTGATTTACTCTGACTTCAGCTACGGAGTCATCTCATATCTGCCCCACAGGCTCACAGGCCAGTACTCTGGTCTCGGCCGTGGCCCTCAGCAGGGAGGCCATGTTAACCTGCACACTAACGCATTGCTCATGAGATGCTTCTCTGAGTCACGTAGCTTCAGTCAGACTTGCTTCTTAAAGTAAGCCAATCGGGGGAGTTAACTGCAGCCTGTACTGTGAACAGCATGCTTTGGGCATAATCAATATTGCAGGCCCTGGTACCAGGCTTTGGAGCAGGCTCTTCCCTGACAACCCATCTCATCTGTAGAAAGAACTTCAGGCTTCTGGGGTCTCATGGAGCTGGCAGCCTGACCAGTCAGACGGGAGCCCACATGCCCAAGTGCACCCCACACACAGCCCCGGCTCCCTCGCTGTGCCCTGTTCCCAGCTGTCTGTGGAGTCCCCTCTGGAGTCCTCCGGGGCCCAGTGAGGCTGGGACTTGTGCTCAGCAGCAGGGCTGGAGGCCAGAGGGCTTGGACAGAAGCAAAGGATGCTTCCCTCAGAGGCCCGGTTCTGAAGACCCTGCAGTGAGCAGGAGATAATCAGCTGCATTTCAAAGCAACCCCGGGACCCAGCAGGGATGCCCCAAGGACAGCCCAAGGTGACAGGAGGGAAAGGAAGGCAGAGTCTGAGAGGAATGGCCTTTCAGGGACTCCACATGAAACAGCAGGTCACATGCTCCTGAAGCCACCCCAGCACATCCTCGCTCTTCACGGCTGGAGACTCCCTGTGCAATGAAGGCACCCAGGTGTTGCACGGGACCCCAAGCCCTTGCGTCCCCAAGAGTGGACGCCTTGAACCTCCTGAGGCTGCCCAGGCTGAGCAGGAAGTGCCCCTCACAGGGCGGGAAGTGGCCAAGACACCAGACAGGGACACGACACGTGCGAAGTGTGGGGTGTCAGCGCCTCCACAATTCCATGGTGGGAAATGGGGAAAAGGGGAGAGGTTCATCTTGCGGAGGGGCCGAGAGAAGACTTGGTGCCGGGTGTGGGCCTGGACCCAGTCTGCTTCCACGCGTGTGAGTGGAGGTGAGTGTGAATGAGGGAGTGTGAGGGCAGCGTGAGGGGCTGTTTGCGTGTGGATGTGTGTGTGGGTGTGATGTCTGAGGTGCGTGTCTGTGTGAGGTCACAGCTCCGCAGCTGGCCCCGGGCCACACCGCTCTGTCTGTGTGTGCGTCCTGTGCGAGCCCTGGGGCTGCTGCTTGACTTCTGTGTCCAGGTTCTGTGTGCTCTGAGGACCCGGGAGACCCCGGGGAGGTGATGCGAGGAGGAAAGCCCACGGTGTGCGGAGATGGGCCCTCCAGGAGGTGACCGGATTAAGTAAGTCGTCAGGGCAGAGCCTGTGATTGAGCCCTGGTGGCTTGGCCAGAAGGTGAGGGACCAGAATACACAGGCGTGTTAACACACACACGCTCCGGCCTCGCGTCCACACCTCTGGAGCTCTTGGGAGACTGCCCCAGAGGGCCCTCATCAAACGTGGCCTCCAGTGCCGGGAGCCAGAACAAGCTGTTTCTCACGAAAACCTGCCCAGTCTGGTCTTGGCGCCCAGGAAACCCAGGAATCTTCTTTGCTTTTTATATCTTCTCAGTTTTACTCATAGTACTTAAGAACCCAGGGATGACTCATATCCATCAACAGTGAAAAGGGCAGAGAGGTGTTCACAGAATGAAATATGACATGGCAATAAGAACTACGGCGCGACTCAACATTCAGAGCATTATTGCAATCTTTAGGGATCACGAGAGATGAACGTCATTGCATACACTGCATTTTCTAAGTAGGCAATTAGAGAATGGGTCATTCATTTAGGCAAAAATGAGGCAACCAGGGATGTGCAGAGCTCTTTGAGCATTAGCTTTCCTAAGACGTCTTTGCTCCTAGTTGTAAGAATTGAGACTGCCCGGGCATCCGAATTAATATCTCTGCCAGATAAGCATTCCCTCCTCTCCTTACTTAGTGGTCAGCATTCTTTCTCTTTCCTGTTAACATGGAAAACGTGGTACAATTAACCTTTGATTAACGTAGATTTTCATACGCAGGGTTTTGGGGCTCTTCTCCACTTGAGACTGTTAACCTCTTCTTCTGGAAGTGTTGGCTGGAATATGCTGATGTTAAGGTGATCACTTACTGTCGGTAAATGAAAATGTCTCTTTATTAGTGACACTTCTGAAAGGGGGCTGTTAGGCGTAGCTGGTAGTGAGATTGGATGGCTTTTTGGAAATAGTACTTTATCTTTAAAAACAAATATCAGGAGTAGCTCTTGGACACATGGAAACTTTCATATCATTTACAACTTTTATGTCTCGGCTGGGAATAAATAGCTTTATGAAAATGAAACAATCTCTCATTTTAAAAAATGACCTAAGAAAACAAAAATGATGTTTTTGCTATCAAATATAAGATCTAATTTTGAGGAAATTTGATTGAGTAGGAGATGTTGTTAATTTTTATCTTAAATATTTTGGACAAGTATGGAATTGTAATAAACTGTGCATGTTGTCTTTTTCAAAAATTATAATTACATATTCTGATTCCATCTACCCTCTTAGGAGGTAGCATTTTTTTTTTCTGAAAATAAGAAATGCTAGTATGTGACAAGGTCAGCGTGTTTTTTCAACACGTGTGAAACCCTGAATTCAGAATCTTAGAAAATGGTGAAGAGGCCTGGGGATTTAGCTCAGTGGTTTTGCTGTCTGCTGTGCAAGTGCAGGGACCTGAGTTCGATCCCTGGTACCAAAAAAAAAAAAAAGAAAAAAGAAAGAAAGAAAGAAAAAATGGTAAAGAGAGAGATGCAATTTGATGTTTTTTATTTGTTTATATATATTTGCAGTTACAGGTAGCTCATCTGTCTTTGGTGTTAATCTTTATATGCGCAGGATCTTCTGTAGTTTTCATGGAATCTGTTGTGTATTGCTTTGGAAAGACTCATTGTCAACAATGTCTTTTACAGTAGGACTGCTGATACACAGCTGCACAATTTCAGTTGATCTGAGATCTTGGATCGTAACTGACGTATACTTTCTTACTCTGTTTCATTTCTTGGTAAGCAGATGAATTGGTTCTACTGTTATAATTGTATGCAGCCTAGACATAATGTTTGAGGCTTCTTATGGTTTCTGTAACAAATGAATATCAAAGTTTAGTGGTTTTAGATATTAATACTGTAAAACCGTATTACCATAATAAAGTATTTTTATATTACTAGGTTAAAAAAACAAAAAAAAAGAACTAAGGTGTGACATACATGCCACCCGGTGCAAAAGAGAACCCACCATATGGTTCCACTTCTATGAATTTTTATTTTTAAACTTTTTTCTATTTTTATTTTGTACCTTTTGTTTAAATCAGGGCTAACACTGAACCCTGGAGCCAGAGTTCAGGCCCCAGCACGCGGTGTGGGTGTCCTCGGTGGGTGGTCGACATTTAGGACCTGCAGACCAGCTGGTTCCAGACCCAGGTGCCCCGTGACAACTCGTGAGCATGGAGTGTCGCTGGCGGGTGAGTGTGTGTCGCCTCGCCTCCGTCCGTGTGTTCTTGCGAACCCTGCCTGCCATGGTTTCCTGTTGTGAGTCCTTTATTTTCACAGAAGATTGGGTGCTCAGTCTTTGTGTGTTTCATGCTAAAGGGTAGAGAGAAGGTTAATGTGGACGTAATTAAGCTTTTAACTGAAGTGCATAATTAAGAGCTAATTGAAAAGAAGAACAGATAAGGCCTTCGGGAGTTTCACGCTTCTACTTCATGTGGAAGTAAATTCAAGACAAGTTATCTGGAAAGTTCTTATAAATTAAATCCTGCATGCAGACGATTTGGGGTTTAATCATGAGAACTGGGCGCAGGGAGCCACCTGGAAGCTGTCACTGTCACGTCCAAGGCTGAGCTTTCCATTTAACAGTGCGGTGAGAGATTGTGCTGTAACTTGCTGTGGTGAGTGCAGAAATCCCAGAGGGCACAAGCCTGGAGCTGGGTAGGGTGGGAGAGGAGGAGCCAGGAATGGGACAGTGATGCAATGGGAAGCCAGCCGGCTGGGGCAGGCGGGGGCCTGGCAGGAGAGGGAGGGGTGGGTGGTCAGACTGGTTCTGGGCCACGCAGGGCCAGGGCTCGAGAATTACAACAGGAACAGGGAGGTGGACCTTTTGAGGTCCAGGGAGGACTCAGCATGGCCCCCCTGGAGAGGGGGCCACAATTCAACCATGACAGGCTCCTCCCTCAGACCCCGTGTCGCAGAGCCCACCTGCCTCTGGTGCCTACCTCGGGACCTGGTACTGCCCGCTGCTGAGGGCAACCTCTGGGTCCAGACGGTGCGGTCCATAGCTGGCGAACTCTGCAGAGCTCAGGTCCACCGCCTCACGCTTCAGGGTTTGTGATCAGGGCACAGATGCCTTGGGGCACCCGTGCCTCATGGACACTCCCATTGGTATGTGCACCTGTGCAGCCTGACCTCCATCGCAGTGATTGCTGGCCACCGTCCTCCCGGCCCTTGATGGCCCGTGAGGAGCATGGCTCCCTGGACGACACGGAGAGAGGGCATTCACCACAGGCCACAGCATCGTGAGTCACAGTCACAGGGCAGGCTGGGTGCAGCCAGAAGCCCGGCTGTGCGTGGGTTCCAGGCCCCGGGGAGGCTGCCTGGGGACTCATGGAGCACAGGTTATGGGTGGGGCAGGGACCGCTAGTGATTGGGGCAGGCAGGCCGGGTGCTGGTATCAATCAGCACAGTCGTCTTCTTGCAGCACTGGGGACAGAGCTACTGCATTCTCAGACTGTTTCCTTCTTCCCGGGTTGGCTCTGGTAGCCCTGCTATTTCTCTTCATCTGGGTTGGAAGAAGAGGGCGAAGTTCAATTGAAAAGGACAGGGCGTGAGTGGGATGTGGGCACGTGCCAGCTCCTTGACCCACATGCAGCCGCTGGAGTGCGTGGGGTGGGGACAGGCCCTGCTGTGGCTCGCCTCACTGCCACAGTTTGTGTCTGGACGGCCCCACCCATCCTGGGGTCTCACAGCTGACCTGCCCTCAGCAGGGGGGCCTGGTTGGGCAGTCACTGGGGTCATGACCTGGAAGTGTTTATCTCCCTACCTAGCTCTTCTTCCTGCTTCAGGTCTGCCCTGCCATAAGCAGCTTCTCCTCTGCCAGCCCCTCTGCCACGCCAGCCTGCCTTGGAGCTGGCCATGAGCCTAAACCTCTACAAACCATGGGCCAAATAAACCTCTCCTTAGCGTTGTGGTGTTAGGACTGTGACTAAGATGCTCATGTAGACTCCGGGCCTCGGACAGGGTGGCACATCCGAGGACAGCCACCGTCTGGCCCGGGGAGAGTGGTGAGGGACTCGCAGCTGGCTAGGGAACAAGCGTGGGTCTCAGGACTTTGACACCACGGCTTTCTGTGCTGCAGCAGGTCTTCCCCCAGGACCCTCTGCCAGGCTGTTCTTGGGAGCCAGTTGACCATGGACTGGAACGTGAGCCAAAATAAGCTTCTCCACCTAAACTGTGGGTGTCGGGTTGTGTCCCAGTGAGGAGGACAGTGGCGGAGACAGCCCCGTGACAGCCCAGCGGACTGGTCTCACCCATGCTCACCTGTCTGTCCTTCCTCCCTGACCCCTGCGACGCGCGTGGATCAGTCTCCCCTCCAGCGTGTGCTCACTCTCCAGGCGGGCTGGCTTTCTTGGTACCATGCCTTTCAGTGACTCTGGAGTTGTGGGGTGGCTCTGCAGCTCCCCTCTGTCTGGCACTAAGTCATGTCCACTGCCTGGACGGCCACAGCCTATTCATCCACTCACTGGCTGGCCGGAGGCCCTGCTGGATGCTCCAGCCTCGGTATCATGAGGACAGGCTGCAAAGGTCAGTGTGCAGGCTGGCCTGGGAGTGGCTGTCCATCAGGAGCTTCCTCGTGTCCCTGGTGGTGTGGGCCTGGCCCTGTGACCATCAGAGTCCCTTGCTAAAGGAGGAGGATTTGCGGCCTGGTGATGCGATGACCCCTGAGGGGCGCGGGAGGGTGCTGCCCGGGCTGCTGCTCTTGTGGGGGAGGCACCTGTGCCCATTCTGGGCGGGGTGGGGTCCGGGAGGGATTCTGCAGGCATCGCAGGACAGGTCTTCATGTGTGCCTTCATGCTGCCCTCCAAGCGGCTGTGTGTTGTGCGTCTCTGCAGCCCAAGAGAGAGTTCCTGAGGCCCCTCATCCTCCCGGGATCGGCTCAGGCATTTCGGGACCAGTGTGTCAGGGTATCTTGGTGTTTGCATCTCAATTTCCCTTCCGAGGCCAGGTGAGATCGCCACCTTCCCACATGCTCCTTTGCCGTCTGAACATCTCCTCTGCTGTGTTCCCTCGGCTCCATCCAAACGCGGAAGCTGCATGTTTCTTCCCGGCTGGCACTCTGGGTGTCGGGACAGAGCAGTGCTCAGAGCAGATTGTCCCTGTTTGAAGCCAGCACCTCATCCTCTGCACAGCCTTCAGAGAGGTTTGTGTTTTAATGAAGACAAACTGATTTTCTTTCATGGATAGTGCTTTTGATGTTGTTATCTAAAAGATCCTCACTAAACCCAAGGTGACATAGTTATTCTTCTCTGTGATCGTGTGGAAATCTTACAGCTTTGCACTGTGCAGATAGGTCTAGGATTTATTAGACATTTTGAGGGGAGTGAAAGGCGTTGCTTTGTGCATGTGGCTGCCCTGTTGTCGCAGTGCTGTCTGCTTAAAGTGCTGTCTTCTCTGCCACACTTTTTATCAGCTGCCTGCCGTGGGTCCGGCACCAGCTCTCCCTCCAGGCTGTCAAACTGTCTGTCCACTCCTTGGCCGATGCCACTCGATCCTCACCTGGGCACCCTGACCTTGATCCAGGCCTGGGCAGCCTTGGCCTGTTTCGCTCCTTCCATACAGGGTGTGCACTCCGAGTCTTTCCTTCTCCATGCAGTTTGACAATCAGCTTGTCGATAATCATAAAATCACTGGGATTTTTATTTTGATCACCTTGATGATGCTTTTGAGCTTAAGGTTCCGACTATTCTTGACGTCTCTATTACAAACTAGTTGACTTTTGCGTATTAAGCACAGCATGCTCACTCAGTTCCAGGAGATTTTTTTGGTTTTTTTACTTCCTTTTCTTACCCTATTGTTGTATCTAGAGCTCTGAGTATGATGATGGACAGAAGGGGTGAGAAGGGATAGACACCGTAGCTTCTTTCTGAGCTTAATGGAGAGCTAGGAGTTTCTCATAATTAGAAATGATACCAGTTTTGGTAGATGTCCTCTATCAAGAGGAGGGAATTATCTTCTACTCCTAGCTTGCTGAGGGTTTTTATTATGAACAGTGTTGGAATTTTTTTCTTTTTTGAAACATGATCTCACTGTGGAGTCCAAGCTGGTCTGGAACTCAGTCTTCCTGCTTCATCATGTTGGATTCCATCAGATATATTTTCTACATTAACTGGCGTCATCACATTTGATTTTTATTATTTGGGCTGTTGAGATAATGTCATGTGTGGAACCAGCCTTGCATACATTGGGTAATCTGCTCTGTTGAGTTCAATCACTTTTACACATTGTTGGATTTGATCTGAGAACACTGGGGTGGGGTTGTATCTGCTCTGAAGCTTTCCTTCCTTGTCATGGTGCTGTCTGGCTTTGGTCTAAGGTAATGCTGCCTCATACAGTAAGTTAGTGATATTCTCTCTGCTTCTAGCTTATGAAACAGATTACAGAGAACTGGTATAATGTTTTCTTTAAGTGTTTGGTAGACTTCGCCAGTGAACCCGTGTGGCCTGGCGCTTTCTGATTTGAGAGACTGTCAATTAACTCAGTTTCTGTGACAGACAAGGCCTTTTGGGTGATCTGGCTGTCTAAATTGGATCTTGTATTGTGTCTCCCAAGGTATTGTCTTTTTCATCTGAGTTATGAATTTGTAGGCATGGAGTTAGCAGTGATACCCTGTGTTATCCTGGTGATGTCCATGGAGTTGGAGGGAAAGGCCTCTCATTTCTGGTGTTAATAACTTGTATTTTCTCTTTTGTTTTCTTTGTGCTGCTGGGGATGGAAGCCAGGGTCTTAGGCATGGCAGGCAAGGACTCACGCCAAGCCCATGGTGATTTTCTTGCTGACAGAGAGGCAACTTCGAAATGCTGAGCACACTGCATGCAAGTCTTCATAATAGCTGCCTTGTGGCTTTTACTGAGAAAGCTCTATAAAGCTAAAGTTATTTTGTCATGACTCAAAAATGAGTACCACATTAATTTCTTTTTTTAAATTTTTTGGTACCAGGGATCGACCTTGGGACCTTGTGCTTTCAACGCAGGCACCAGAACCACTGAGCTAGATCCCTGGCCCACATTAATTTCTTTGCATTTTTATTGACTTTTGGGAAAATAAACTACATGTGGATCAAAGGACAAAGTTCCAGATAAATGCAAAAATATGTTAAAACTTCCCGAAGGATTATGAGATTAACAAAGAAAAATACATATAGCTTTCTTTTTTTGCTAGTGATAAGTGTGATAGTAAGAAATACCACATGTGAAAGATGAACATATTTGTAATGCTCTCAACTCATTGTTTCCATTTCTTAGCTGGACACTGGCAGATCATGGCTGCAATGGTGAAGATTCGATGCCCTGATGGTCCTCTGATGCTGGGTCTGTGCACTGAGCCAGGGCCTGCAGGAATCACAGCCAGCCCTGTGAATCCAGCTGGGGCGTGTCAGGAATCGGCCTCACCACTCACCATCATCACGGTCACCTGCCGTCTCCCTGCCGGCGTCCTGGGCCTGGAGGTGCTGTGGGAGGGCAGGTGAGGGAGGCCTGTTCAGCATGGTGCTGCTGCTGGGGACTGGCGGGCCGTCCTCAGGCAGGCCAGCCGCAGCGATGGCCCCTGGCGGGGAGAATGCGGAGCAATGGCAGAGAGGGTGGGCGCCCAAAAAGGGAGGAGGCCTCCAGAGGGCGGGAGCGGCTGGCTGCTGCTGAGGGGGACAGAAGAAAGGCCGCCAGTGAAGGGAGGGCTGGAGGGAGAGGTGGCTCGGATCCTCAGCAGCCCGAGCCCCTTGGACTCTACCAGCACATGGGCTCCAGCTGGACCCCGCCTCCCTTGGGGTGAGGCCTGGAGCGACCCCGCCCACAGCGGCCCTGATCCCGCCCCTCACGGGCTCTCAGGCGCCTTTGCCCTTTGCCGAACCCTGGGGAACTCGTGAAGGTGAACTCGCTTCCGCCTGTACGCGGGCTCGGTGGCTTCGGGCGTGCCCCTTTCTTCTTAACAGTGAAACCGAGGCTATTTTATTGAAAACTGGAATGGAGGAAAAGTAATTTTTTTTTCTCGATAAAACTCTTGGATCTATATAATTTCTCTGAGTTTGAAATAATGAGAACTCACTCCAACAAAAAGTAAATATTATTTTTCTCCAAAAAATTTAATTGCAGAACTGTTTACAGGGGCTAAATATCAGCAGTCCAGAAAGTGAAAAAGGATTATTCTAGAAGAGATTAGGGGAATGGAAAATATTTTTCTTTCAATAACTGAGAACAGAAAAAAGTTATGAGGTAAAAAACTTTGAAAAAACTTCTTAAATGCCTTAAAATAATGACTGGCATTCTGATGAGAAGTTATTAAACAAGACCCAAGAGACAATTTAGATGAAGACCACAGTGAACATCCGGATTGGCATCCTGGACACCACTAGTGGGAATTTACCAAAAGAACCATAAAAGCACGAGAAAGAATCACACAAAGGGGTTTCATTTCTGTGACTGTAGAGATGGGGGTATTTGGTGCTCTGTCCTTGCGGCTGGTATGAGTTGCTGTGTATATTTATTCATAGATGTACTTAAATGCTTTTGTCTTGAACTGTGACTACAGCTGGCCTCCTCCTTCGAGCAGGCCCTGAATTTCTGTCGCAGGGACTTAACCAGGTTCTCGGGCCACACTAGTATGTGGCAGGGAGTGGGGGGGGGGGTCTCTACAGCAAGGTCCTGTGGGACCCACCCGAGAAGTGGCTCCCTCGTTGGAAATGAAGGATCAAAAGCAGTCCAGTTCTTACTCCGGTCTCGGGAAAGGGGGCGAGGGGATGTTCATCCAAGCCCTCTGGCAGTGGTGACCCATGGAAAGGCGTGGCACTCGTTCTCGGTGGCAAACTGGGGTGAATGAGGGCACAGCAGAGAGCTGCTGGGCTTGGTAAGAGTCCACAGCCAGGCTCAGCCTCCTCCACGGCGCCTGCAGGCTCGGGCCGAGTCCTCTGGGTCTGGATAAGCACCACGGTCCAGAGTCGCTCAGATCTCAGAGGGGGAGGTAGCCCTCTGTCCCCTTGGCTGGTGTACTCACGAAACCTTTTAAAAAGTAGTTCTGCAGTAGGTGACTAAGGCTTCTTCTGCAAAGAAGTCATCTGCCAAGGGCTCAGACTGAAACGTGAGATAAATGCTGGCTAAAAACGCTGGGGCTGGGGCAGCGGTTGGAGCTGTGGACCTGGACCATGGGGCCGGGCTGAGAAGCCTCCTCCTGCAAGCTCCAGGCCTCCGTGTCTGAGTGTGCGGAGGACCCGCGCCAGGAGCTGGGGCAGCCAAGTCCACCCCGCTCCCCGAGCTCATCCTTCTGTTCCCTTAACTGTCGGAGCAGTTCCACACGATTTGGGGGGAAAATCATTTCACAATTAAATTATGATTAGGCCTAGTTTCCTGCCTACAGGCCAGCTATGGCATGATGAGACATGACTCCATTTTCACCTCTGGTCACACGAAAATCTCGATGATTCAGTGATGCTGTGATGCTCCAGGGCAGGATTACAGCAGCTGAGCACACCTGGGGGGCAGCACACAGTTCCTCATTGTCCCAGGCTTCCGCCCTGCTGCACTGAGTCACCTATTACGCTTGTCACTCCCGATGCAGTGAATCAAGGTACAGCAAGCTTGGGGTCTTCGCTGCCCAGAGCCCCATGGATCAGGCCCAAAGCTCAGCTTTTTCTCTTTTTTTTTTTTTGGTACTGGGGATTGAACTCCGGTCCTTGCGCTTGTGAGGCAGGCAACGGAACCACTAGGCTAAATCCTCGGCCCTCAGCTTCTTCTCTAAGGCTCTCTTTTCTATCTTTTCTGTCTAATTCACTAATTCTCCTTGGGCTGCCATGGCCCGCAGGAGACTAGGACTTACTTGTGTGATGGGGGACAACTGCCTGCTTGGTCGGGCACGTGGAAACGGTTCTTGGAAGCCTCCAGAAACTGAGATGAAAGCCAGCAGCAAAGAAGGCCCTCACCATCACTTCTCCATCTCCAGGCTGCCCCAAGCTTGCTGTCAAACCCCCATGGAGCAGGACCGCAAGCACGAGTCCCCATGGCACCCCCATCAGCCTGTTTTTCTTGGTGATGTGGGTGTCCTGCATGGACACTCGCTGCACCCCATGGGGCAGGCACTCACCGAGGGTGGCCAGTGGCCTGGCCCCTCACGACCATGGCTTAGGGGTCCATGCTGAGCCACGCAGTGTGTTTGAGGACCCAAACCTACCAAGAAGTAGAGACAAATATTCAGATAAAAACAAGAGAACCCCCAGAAAGTTTCAAGGAAGTATGGTTTGAAAACCAACTAGAGAAATGTGAAATGCTGCTCCCGAGGTAATGTGTCTCAGATGACCTCACTGGGTGTTAAATTCGCAGGAATAAAACCAGAAGTCCAAGGCTGGAGAGCACATAGCTGGGAATGAACAGAGGGAAGAGCAGGGTCTGTTAGAATGGGAACCCGGTTGGTCCCAGTTCCAGGGACACGGACAGAGGGGGCCCCTTGCTGCCCTCCCACCCCCAGTGCTGTTTCTGGCAGCACGTTTGGGTTCCTCCTGGACATAGCCTCTCCTGGCCCCTGGCCTCTCCCTCCAGATTCCTGGGGTCCTGTCTGGCCCAGTGGCCATGCTGCTTCACACTGGGGCCAGCCTCGGCCCATCAGATGTGCACGTGACAGCTTCTGTCCTGGGGGCACCCTGGGGCCCTGTCAGATCTCTAACAAGACTGGATCGAAGCTCCGACCTGACCCAGGCCTCCCTGGGACGCCCGCTGGCTCCTGACTCCTCAGCCCCTGGAAGGCTGTGAAGGGCTGGCCTGGTTCCGGTCGCTGTTGTCACACCGAAGCCCTGGCAGACGGGCGGCACAGTTGCTGTTCCCCGCTGGGACCCCGAGGATCGGGCCGCACCCAGCAGCCCTTCTGAGAGCACACCAGGGAGCTCTGACTGCGTCTGTAGCCTACCGCTCTCCGCTGTGGAGCCCCCTGTGGGGCGGGTCCCTAGCACAAGTGAACGGAAGCTGCAGCGTCTTCCCCTGGCGAAGCCGAGACCTGGCCATCAGGGACACAGCCCGAGACGACTGAACGTGCATGTGTGATATCTGCAGCTGTCTTCTGATTGTGAATCTGGCACGGCCATAAACCCAGCAGGGAGCAACCCCTTATGTTGCGGCTACTGAGTCTGTGGCTTTATTTTGAAGAGGCAACCTCGAATGTGATTTATATTTTTCTAATATTTGCCTTTCCACTAAATGCTGGAAGTCTTCAGGGTTGATTTGGAGTTGAAAACATGGACACCACTTCCTTTTAAACACAAATGTAATTTTTTGTATACAACAGTTCAGTGCTTTATACAGCATTCTAGGATGGAGATACAAACTTGTGGAGGAAAACACGGTGACAGTCGTTACTGGTGAGGACGGGCTCACATCAGCGGCAACAGTGAGTAGATGGAGCCGTAGGTGGGTGACACTGGAAATGCTCTTGCTCCAGGCTGCCTTCTGCTCTGTGCCCTGGTCCTCACACTTATTTTCGTGTGTGTTTGAGAGACGACTGAGGCACCAGCAGGCCTGGCGGGGCTGCCAGTGTGAGGGCGTCTCCCCAGCACTGGGCCCTCTGGGGACCCAGGCGAGCAGCTGCAGGGAAGGTCAGCCTGCACCCTGATGTTGCAGGCCCCCTGTGCAGCACATGTCCAGCAGCCTTTTATTCAAGGTATATTTGAAATGTGAGGGCCGGACCCCACCAGAGCTTTGGCCGCACACCCTCTGAAAAGGCCTGACAAAAGACCCCAGGAGGTCTCTGCACCACAGAGCTGCAAAGTGCATGCACGGTGCAGAAACATGGCTTGGCTTCCCGGCCTGCGACACAGCGCCACCTGCAGGGGAACTGGAGGTGCTGCCGGGGCAGCCACAGGAGCTGAGTCCTCACTGCCAGCAGCGCCTGCCCCTCTGCCAAGGCGTGAACTTCTTTGGAACCTAGTGGGCCAAATGGGCACAAGCTCCACACCGGGTGGGGCCACTGTGCTACTTGCTCGCCTAGGGATGGTGCAGGCCAAGACTTCTGGGATTGTCAGATAAAAAGTGAGCGGAGAAAACAAAAATCAACCAAATCCACTGAATATTTGGTTCACATTGGGACCATAGAATCCAGAGTCGAAGACAAATCTAATTATCATCTAATATTGCCATGTGCTTCTGAGTGTTTTGTGTGAGTTTGAGGAATAAGATAAAACCCATCAGCTGCCGGGAGGTGCTGGGAGGTGAGCAGGTGGAGTGCACACGCGTGTTCTAATTCCTTATCTAGGCGTGCACACAGACTCTTCGGTCTGTAGTTGCTTCTAACTAGGAGTTCCTCTAAATCGCTTTTACAGTCTAAACTGCCAGTCCTTACACTTGCTTTTAACACAGTGGAGCGAATATAGGAAGAAGCATCATTATGGTACACTATTCAGGATTTAGGTATTTATTAGAAAAATGCTTTGAACACTCTGGGGAAATAGGATTCAGTTATAGAAGAATATTTCAGGGTTGTTTTTTTTTTTTGCAGTTTTCAAGGATATACATTCGTACTGATTTTTGCTTCCAAATATATTTTAAGGCTGTTTGGTAAAATATATACCAGATATGAGGCTCAATTTACAGGGTTTTGTTCTTACAGGGAATTCTTAACTACTCAGCTTTAGAAAAGTAAAACTGTGAAGCTCGACATGCTGTAATACCCACTGTACCCCAGTGAACCCCATGCGTGGTGGGATGTCGGCTATGACCGGAGGGCGGCGCGGCCCGGGTGCCTCGCCGAGCGCCCACGCGGTGGCGCTGTAGGGCCGCGGCGGGCCTTGCACGTCTTAAAGTGCGAATCACGGAGAGAAAACAAAGTGCTACAGGTTGTGGAAAGCTTTCTGCCTATGGCTAAGCACGAGGTGCTCGTTAAAGCAGCAAGAAGGAAGACCTGGTATTTGGGTGGAGACATCTGCCGTGGCAATCCCGTGTCTGCCTGGAGTGCAGACTCAGGCCCGGAGCCTGCCTACTCTGCAGCAGGGAGCAGAGCTGCCTTCCTCCGGGCCAGAGGCGCACCGTGTGCCAACTTTCCCCTTCATGTCTAACACAGGCAAGAAATAGATTCTTGACGTCAGCAATACTGCATAGGACAAGGTAATTCTGGAAAAATACAAGTGTAAACCACATTTCTTCTTTACCATTTAAACTGAGATATACTTACCACTCACATTCATATTCTTACACTTTTGACGTCACAACTGTCATTTTATACAAGCAAACTCTTTTTTAAAGATACCCTGGAAAGTCAACTGATAGAGCAGTTTGAAATGTATATACACATATAAAAAAATCACATGGAGCTTAAGCGGTGAAACTGAAAGAAAACGCTCTGTGAATGCCTTAAGTTACAAAGGAATAAAAACTACAATGGCTGTTTCAGAGAAGTGGGCAACTCTTTCTCACCTGCGCCCAGCTTTCTGGGGCTCGGGTCCCCTCCCACGCATCCCTCCCTGGGGGACGTTCAGCTGGTCCCTGGTGTGAGTATGTGGGATGTCGGAGTGGGCTCGACTCGGAGCGCCTGGGGTTTGGAGAACCTCAGGGTGGAAGCTGGGGGTGGGGGAATCCCTTTCTGTAACCAGGAACTCGACTCAAAGGAGCCCAGAGCTTACGGTTTGCGACAGCGAGGACCAGGATAGCTGGGCTTTCGGGAGAGGGACGCTGGCGGATGGGGGACGGGTCTGTCTTTCCTGCCCTCGGGGTGTAGCACCTGCCACTTGGGGTATCTGATGCCTCTCGGGAGTGGTGAGATGCACCCATTTGCAGCTGTTTGTTATTCTTACCTCTAATATCACACAATGTATAAAAATAGAAATCACAAAATGTCTGGTGTGTCCTGTCTCCAGAGGCCTGTCTGTGTCCTCTAGGACGAGGAGGGGCGCTGGCTGTCACCACGCCGTCCCTCAGGGTGGCTGAGAGGCGGGCCATCAGTTGGAGGAAGTCATTCCTGCTCGGCACACCGAGGAAGTCGAAAGCATCCCACCGTGCTTATGGTACAAAGGACACAACAGTGAGGGCGGCTTCGGTGGAGGAAATGAGACAAAAATTACCAGGTAGGCAATAAACTGTACAGCGTTTTGTTAAAAAGAATGAGAACAGGCGAGTGTTGCTGCATCGCGTCCGGTCCGGTCCGGTCCGGTCCGGTCCTCAGAGCCGGGTCTGGGCCTCGGGGATGTAGATCTCGATGCTGTCGGCCCGCTCAGTGGCTGAGTTCTGGCGGAAGGAGGCCGCACGCTTAGCAGCCATGAGCCGTCTCCGGGCCTCCTGGCGCTGGCGGTCTGGCAGGTCCAGAGACTTTTCTCTTGTGATGGGAAATTTCCCCTTGGGGGGCTTCTTTGGTATTGGAGGGGGGACCTTTCTTTCCTCCTGAAAAGGGTCACAGGTGGGAAGTGGTCAGAGGGGCTGTGCGCCTCCAAAGGCCCCAGGCCCTAGCCCGGCCGCTCTTGCTGTGTGGCTCAGACTCGCCCTGGTCTCCGACCTTTGTGCCCTGTGTAATCTGTGGTCTCCCAGATCCCTCAAGGGAGGCAGAGGCATTGGGAGGGTTTAGGAGTCAGGAAACATCTGCATGTGACACTGGGTGTGTCCTCATCTCCACAGGTTTGCAGGAAGGCTTATCCTCCTCCCATGCTTTCTAGAGCACCACGTCCTGCCTGATGCTGGCACACACCTGACAGAGCCTGTGGGCACTGTCATCAGCTGAAGCAGGGTTTCGTGCATGCTCATGAAAACCAGGCTGTGTGGACAGGTGTCTCAGGGAACCATTTAGTAACCTAAAACCTCACTGACCTCAATAGTGTTGTGCAGATGGGATGATTTACCTCTTGCTGGATAAAAGGATACAAATAATTATTTCTGACTCTTAGTTTATTTTCTTCTTTTGGTACCAGGGATCGAACTCGGGTCCTTGAGCTTGTGCAGCAGGCAGCAAAACCACTGAGCTAAATCCCCAGCCCCTCTTAGTTTATCTTCTTAATAACTGTCACCAAAATACGTGGATGGCTTTTTCAGAAAAATCTCAGTTTTGCAACAACTGCAATGCAGAATGCTTGTGCTGTTTAGTGACAGGTTTGCATGCTGTGGTCTCAGCACTGCTACCCCTGAGCCAGAAGCTCTCTCTCTCCTCCTTCCCAGGAAGGCCACAGGATGGGGCCCATGAGCCCCTCCCATGCGCCTGCCCAGGCCCCAGCCCCCAGGGCCATGGGTGGGGTGAGCAGCTGTCTGGTGTCTGCGACTTTGCCCCTGTAGCCCTTGTCACCAAGACCTAGGCCAGCAGCAGTGGGTCCTCGGAGCAGTGAGGCCTTTGGGTGCTGGAGCATGCAATTCCTGCTCTCAGCACACGGCCCAGCTCACCACCACTCCCCTCGCTGCTCGGCACCTCTGGAGCCTGGGGCGGTGAGAGCCGCCTGCAGGGAGCTGTGGCCCAGGGACAAGCTGGGCATCTGTGCGGAGCCCGGAGCCTCCACCAGGGACGAGGCTGCCCGAGGCCACCCACTCTGCTCAGGGTGCTGTGTCTTTCGTGAGGGCCCACTTCCCCCTACCTTCTCTGCGTCTGGGGAGAGGGCTGCTGTGTGCATCTGGGCCCTGTGCTGTGTGTCGGTGCCGCCTCAGGATGATCTTCCTCTTGGGGTCAGCGCCGAGTGCCTCCTTCACCACACAACCAAGCGACAGAGTGCGACCACTGGCTTGCAGCCCGCGGAGTCTTCCAGGCACCCTGCCTTCTGCTCTGCCCCGGGGTCGGCGGCAGGAAGGGTGTCCTGGTTGGCCCCTGTGGTCTCTGGCCTGGAACTCCACTAGGTGGCCAGTGGCACCTTTCAAGGGGGTGCAGATGAAGATAACCTACGTGGGCTTTGTTTTGTGTTTTGCTGTGTGGCCCAGGTTTGCCTCAGACTCATAGCAACCCTCCTGCCTCGGCTTCCCACGTGTCGGGTTGACAGCTGTGTGGACCACGCCCAGCTCTTCACTGGCTTTTGCCCTAATGACCCAGCTCTGTGTCCTTGCCTGTATGCCAAACACCACCTCTTGAAGGTATGCTGGATTGACTTTCTTGCTAAGTCTGCTGCAGTGGTGAATGTCTGCCTAGAGTGCGCGGGGTGTGACTGCTGCTCTGAGGTGCGTGGCTGTCATTGGGTGTAGGCTACCTCAGCCCGGGCAGCTCTACTGCAGGAGACTCTGCTGTGGAAGAACACCTGGTTCAGGCTTAGTGTCACCGTTCAGCGTACTTACTGGCCAAGGCTGACAGAGCCACAGGGCAGTGACACCCTCAGACCATTCGTGGGGTTTAGTGTGTTTTGTCCCTCACTACAGGCCTGCAGTTGATGGCACAGGGCCGTGGGAAACTGTCACCACAGCAGACCTAATGCTGTCCTGGGAGATCATCCTAACAGCCCAGATGCAGGCTGGGCTCAATCTCTCAGATCATCCCTCCTCATGTGAGTGAGGCCACAGAGTCACATGTGCCCTCATGTGTGCTCTAGGAAAGCTGACTGCTGTGGCGTGTCCCCAGCTTCATTCTATGGCACACACAGTGCGCATGCACAGCCCCACGTGCTTAGGCAGCATCTGGTCCTGTGCTGCTCACTGAGGGCTGGGAGACCCTGGACCCTGCAGAATCAGGAGCTGCAGGTGGGTCAGACACTAGGGGCACCAGCTACAGCCTGTGGCCCTAGCACACGGCACACGGCACACTCACCTCCCTCTCGGGAGACTCCATGACCCTCCAGTCGTTCAGCTTCAGCTGGTGCAGCTCATCGAACTTCATGCTGACGTCCTCGACAGAGAGCTGCAGCATGTCCCAGTAGCCTGCCAGGTCTTGGGACGTCGGCCTCGGCATGGCGCTGGGGTCCTGCAGAGACAGAGGGGTTCAGAGGCCCTCCAGACTGGGAAGCCTGGCTCTTCAAACGCCGATGCAGTATTTGGGCAGGGTCATCGGGACTGGACGGAGGTTGTCCACAGCACATGTACCTGCTGGTGGTCTTCCCCATGTAGCACAGCCCTCCCACGTTCCGTGCTGCAAATGCTGGGGATAGTGGCAAACATCAAGGTCTCAATGCTCAACAGTTCACAAAAGCGGGGGTGGGGGGGCAGCTCTGTTTTAGACTTTTCCACAGGGACCAGGCTGGGGTGTGGCTTGTGATGGGGCAGCAAGCGGGCTGAGCGCCAGCTCTGTATTCTGATGAGGCCGAGCTCTGTGCTGAGGGGGAGCAGCACCTTCCAAACACCGCATGTGTTTAGTCTGCTTCCAGGTGGAAGGGCGCAGGCCAGTGGGTCTCTTGGGACAGAGCCATCTCAGCGATGGGCACCCTCCTCAGAATGCCGAGTGCTGCTGCCCTGCGCCCGGGCCATGCCCCCCTCAGAACGTGGCCTGAGTGGGCTCCGTGTCTGCAGCGTGCCTGTGTCCTGACTGAGGGCGCTGCTCTGGGGGGGCTCCCTTGGCTCAGCGGGCAGCTGGCTCAGCCTGGCTGCCCTCAATAATCAGACTTTGATCTGAATTTGCTTAAAATGTGTGAACTTCGGCTCACTCCTCAGTAGTTTGCACCAAGAATGCCATGAACTTGTTTGGTTGGCTTACATTTCCTTTAACCTGACTTAACGTCCACATCCAAGTGAGTCCTTAGGCACCATCGTCTTCTCTTGTGTGCAGCCTGTGGCAGTACACACTGCCAGCAAGGGTCGCAGGTCAGAGGGCTGCCTTGCACGGGCACAAAGCGGCCCCTTTTCCTCACTCAAAGGGAGATCTAGAGCAGCTTCCTGTTCTCCTCTGGACCACTAGGGGGCGACCTCTGACCACAACAGGTGCTCAGCCTCACATCTGGGCCAAAAGCAATGCTGGCGCAGGGGCCACCTCCAGCCAGCAGTGCTGGAAAGTGGACATCCACATGCTGGACTGAAGGCATCTCTGCCAGCCTGTGTTGAGATCACGTCAGATGGATCAAAGACCTTGATAGGAAACCAACTTTGAAACGGGTGGAAGACAGCACAAGGGAAACACTCGAAGCCAAAGACACAGGCAAGGACTTCCTGAATAGGACCCTGGTGACAGAGAGTAACAGCAAGAATCAACAAATGGGACCACAGCAAATCCAAAAGCTTCTGTACCACAAGGGAACAGCAGAGAAAAGAGCCCACAGAGGAGGAGGAAATTGGTGCCAGCTGCTCATCCGAGGGACACAGCCTGGAGAGTGTGCAGGGCTGTTCTGCTCGCTTGTATGCGAGAGGCGCTCAGCAGGAGCCTCCTGGGGACAGGGGCGCTGCGCTCACGCGGTCAGTGCCCTGAGCAGCCTCACCTTGAGAAGGGCTGTCTTCGAGCTCCACCCTTGGGATCTGGTCTGCATCTTCTAGGGCTGTTCCTGGCCTCAAACTTCCAGCCACCAGCAGTGCTCCTACAGCTGGGGACCACGAGTGACAGAGCACTCACGTCTGTCTCCCAAGAGTTTCAGGGCTCGTGTGTGTACTAATGCTGAGTAGAAGCGGTAAGGGAAGGAAGCAGCCAAGGCAGATCAAAGGCATCCACGGCATTAGGAGGAATCATTCCGAGCTCTGTAGCAGCTGCTTCTGGGCGGCAGGAGACGAGCATTGTCCAGGCTTCAGCACCACACATCCAAGGTGACTATCCCGGCCGTGAATGACTGGTGGGGAGGCAGGAGTGTGGACAGCATGTGTGGCAACCAAAGCTTCATCCACTGCCTGTTTCTCTGAGGTCTCAAAACCTCCCAATGCCCTGTTTGGTGCTAGGAAAGAACCCAGGGCCTCACACACGCTAGGGGAATGCTCTGCCACTGACTGGCCCAGTCCCTTTTAAACACCGGTAAGTGTTACGTCGAGGTGACAAGTTGGCAACCCTAAATCTGGTGCTGACTTTAGTGGGTGCAGTGGAAGCGCTGGAGCAAGCACGTTTCCGACACCTCATGAAGGGAGCAGAGCTGCTCCAGGGGCCCGTGCCTGACCAGTGCATGAGGCTGTCGTGTGTGCTCAGCATCTCTACAAACTGCAGACAGAAGCAGCTGGAGTACCTGTTGCCCCACTGCACAGGCTACAGAGAGCAGTCTGCATCCCCTGGAAAAGCTGGGTGTGAAAAATTAGGGCATCAGTGCAAAATCACCCGTGAGGGGCACAGACACCACGCAGCTGTGGTGCAGAGTTACACAGATACTTTTTGCAGTGAGAAAGAAGAGCATACAATGTGTACGTGTGTGCATGCACGTGTGTAAGCACACACCTATCACTGTCTGTAGGTGAGCATCCATAAGACATCAGTGCTTGCACACACGAGCTTAGACACCTTTGGGTGGTTCTTCCCTTTGCCATCAGAGGCCAGGCTTGATGCCAGCTGTACTCACAGTCCTAGCTCATGGTGTATTCATTTCCATCCAGACTGTACATGAGAGCTGAGCCACTTCGAGCATCTTCCTAACCTCTTTACGTGTGTGCGCCTATACCTCTCTATTCTACGGCCTCCTCAGGTCATTTTCTCTGGCAGTGATCTTGACCACAGGAGTGATTAGCTTCCCAGCTCCTCCGAGGTCTTCTGAAGAATCCCAGCAGAAGAGGCCAGGCTTTGCCACCTCCAGGACTCCTGGTGCCTTCCACCAACAAACATACCTCTCAGACCAGCTCCAGCTGCAAGCAGAAGCCAGGGTCTGGGTGTGTGTCCCCTGGGGCCTGGGGTGCAAGTGCCCAGGGCTGGCTGCATCCTCTCTCATGAGCTCCCTCACTGTCTGCCATGCAATGTGCTCCAGCCCATGAGCAGCCTAAGCATGGGCAGGGTCAGCTTCAGCCGCCAGGTCACTCACCATGTTCTGCTGGCAGAGCCAATAGAACTGCTGGAACTTCTGGGACATGAGCAGCTGGGCGCTCCCCACGGCGCTGCGGATCTTCCCGAGAACTGTGGGAGACAGGACAGGTCAGCCAGGTCAGCTGGGGACAGGAGCAGAAGGGCTCCACCTCAGGGAGTGTCCGGCACTGGCCTGGCACCCTGTCCTGGGGACTGGCGTTGCTGGGCGAACTGCTGGGCACCCTTGAGATTCATGGATTCCATGAGTTCAGCGAACTCCAGGAAGATGTTAAGCCCTGAGTTCGGAGAAAGCGCACTGCTGTCTATTATTTCCCTGACTCAATGAAAGAATCTCTGGTGAGTGTGGGCAACCATCCCAGGGCACTGCCACCAGATGCACCTTAAGGTCGAAGAGAAGTCACAGGAAGTTGCCCTGAAGTGGCTTTACTGGTGCACAGGGTTCAACAAATTACAGGAAGGTAGGCGTGGCCACTTCCAGTCTTGAGACGGCCACACCTCTGTCCCCAGCACCCTGACTGTCCCCCTGCACCCACCTACCTCCCCTCCTCTGGTCATGTGTGAACACGACCCTGATCTGGAAAAGGTGCCAGGGCGACTCCAGCTCAGACTCCAAAGCCACCAGGTTGACGGGATCCCTTCTTTTTCTTTTTCCTTTTACCCTTAGAGCCAATTTATTTTTACACCACGCTTCATTCTAACAAGTTTAAGAATTTGTTTAAAAGATTAAGCACAAGTTTTAAATTCTAAGGATTAATAAAAAACAAAACAAAACAACAGCCTGGGGATTTTCAGCATGATGGGCAAATGTTCTTCTTGCGGAGATCTCTTTACCTTCCCATCCTGGTGCCTTTGCTGTTTTGACAGCCATGATCTCTACCATCTTACATCTCTGAGTCTCAACACTGGGAGCTGAATACCTTGGGAAGGACAAGCGGGAAAAGGAGCTCTGGCCAGAGTCCTAATGGCTCTGCATCATGCTGGATTTTCAGAGTCCTGTTCTAACTGGAGAACATGAGTTGTCCATTATCTGAGCTCTGCTATATTCTCTCTGCCATATTCTGCAGATACAGCCCTGCCTTGTACCGATCTGGTCCCCTACCAAGTCTTTATGGGCCAATCTTCCCTTAGGATATTCTAATTTGAAAAACTGATGTTGTTTCCTTTTGTGTGTGTGCATGTGTGCACACGTGTGTGTGTGTGTGTGTGATGATTACATTTTTCTAAACTACAAATTAGGTCACAAAGCCCAATGACAAATAAGTTTTTGACTTATGAGCCACATTTGGTGTCATACTTAAGAAACTATTTTATTGAAGTGATATCCTTGCAAAGAAATAAACTTAGCTATATATGTTCTATATAATCAGCTCTGCAATTTTTAAACATTAGGAATTGGAATTTTTCTTCAGAAATATGTTCTGTGACCAACTCTATATTATGGTCCATATAACTATCAACAGACATATTTGCTTGTTGAATTAGCCTCATTTCTTTATGTTATGGGAATATTTGTGCACATAAAAACTTGCTCAAGGGCTGGGGATTTAGCTCAGTGGTTCCAGCAACTGCCTTGCAAGTGCAAGGTCCCAAGTTCAATCCCTGGGACCAGAAAGAAAAAAACAACTTGCTCAAGCATTTTGATTTCTATGGCTCTAGGGGGAAAGTGAATCCTATTTTCTTTATAAAAAAAAAAAAGTAGCTCATTTCCATGCTGATAGGCACATGTCTCTCCCTCTGAATAGAGGAACACTGGCTATTTCAGCTAGAGGCCTTTTATAGTCTGGAGATCTGGGCTTCATTGGTCTCATCCTTTTTCTGCTGCTGGTCTAGAACTCTGCTCACCTGACCACCTCCTGGGACACTCTACCCTTAAGTGTGGATAATTCCTCAACTATGGAAACAATTCACCTTGGGAATGATGGAGCAGGATAAGAAGTTTTGTAGTGCTCCTTCAAGCAGCTCAGTTATCCACTCCCATTATCTGATGCTCATTACATAAACTGGAAAGTACTTATTGTTCATTTATCTTTCCTCTTTTCCTTATTCTTTCCAGCCATTTAGGTCGAGCAGAGCAGAAAAGTGATCCTGTGAGCCCTGCTGACCCCCAGCAGTAGCCAACCTTGACTTTTGAGCTCAATTTGCCTTGAATGTGAACTTGATGGGCAGGGCTGAAGATATGAAGAGAGCATCTGATTGTAACTCGTTCAGCTGCTGGGAGTGGGTGACTTGCACTTCAGTATTCCAGTACTGTTTTTAAAAGTCAGGTTATCTGTTAAATCAATTTAGTGGGTGGGAATCAACATGAAAGAAAAGAAAGGAAGAAAGGAAGGAAGGAAGGCGGGAAGGCAGGAAGAAAGGAAGGAAAAGAGAGAAAGAAAGGGAAACTGGAGAGAGAAGGGGTGAGGGAAGAGCAGGATCCCTTCCCTTCACCCCCTTTCTCTCTGCCAGGCCAGGTGCTGGGTGCCTTGCAGGGTACCACACAGCTGCACAGCACACTCACCTGGCTTCTCTGTCCCTGGCAAACCTGAGGTGGGAAGCTGACCACAGGGCAGTGTTCTGGAGCACAGTAGCTCATCAGGCCTTGGTCTGCCCAGGGGCACTGCAGAGCCACCTTCCAGCATGGGGACTTCCTGAGTGCTTCCTTCCTGAGGTGCCTGTCCATGGGGCATCGTTTACCTCTCCAGCAGTTTGGGGGGTCACACTCTCCCTCCAGGTGGCTTGCTGAGCACACCTAACTACCCTGCACCAAGCACTGAAAGTGTCGCTAAGTTGCTGGTTCTGCCTGCTTTCCCTGGCCCTGCTGGAGGAAAGGCTTGGCAAGCTCCACTCTGCATGTTTGGGGAGCATGAGGGAATAGGGGGAGTGCTCTGTGGAGATCAGTCCCAAGGAAAAGCTGAGGCAAGAGATCCATACCACAGTGCTCAGTCAAGATGGAATGCTCATGCTCAGGAGGGAGGTTTCATCTGGAGAAGTGGAGGTGATTGGTTTTCCAGCACCTTGGGGATCTATATGTGCCTGCCAGGCGGGCCTGGGTGGGCTGAGACAATTCTCCTGTGTCTAGGTGATGTTCCTGATGGCCCATGGGGCACACTCGACAATCACAGAACAACGGTCATTCCAGGGCCTGGAACTGAGGTCCAATTGCGTTAGCTTCCTTCCACACTAGCTGTTTCTCCAAACATCAGTGATTTTTAACACCAACTACTTTGGAGACATTTGCCATGCAGTAGACGCATCATCAGATCCTGATATCCAAGGGGCCCAACTATTGCTGCTGCTATATTCCCTTTTCTTAGCCTGATTTTAGGGGGAAAAGAATCACATGGATGATAAGAAAGGAGTTCACTATGACAAAATGCTATGAGGCTATTGAAAATGATACTCCAGAAATCAATCACAAAGCAGTGGGTAGCACATCCTTCTTATAAAAATGCATGGGGGCCAGGGATTTAGCTCAGTGGTTCCGGTGCCTACCTCACAAGTTCAAGGACTCAAGTTCGATCTCCGGTACCAAAAAAAAAAAAAAAAAAAAAGAATAGCCAAGGTGTCTTAGTTAATTTCTAGATGCTGGGCCGAAATATCTGACACAAGATAAAGGAGGAAAGTTTTTAGAGGTTTCATCTGTAGTCAGCTAGCGCTAAGGTAGGGCAGCATGGCAGAGGGGCATCACATAGAAGAAACAGCCCATGGCAGAGTAGGCAGGAAGCAGTGAGCCTCCCTTTCCCTTCATATTCCATCCAGCTTACAAGCCTATTGGTTGGTGCCACCCATACCCAAGGTGGGGCTTCCCTCCTCAGTAAATCCATCATCCATACCCAGAACCAGGCCAAGCCAATCAGTGGACTAATCCAGTATCACATCCAGCCACTCCCCAAAGCCTCACCTATGAGCACAAGAGGCTTTGGGGGGACATCTAGTTATAAACCATAACACTAGTGTTACATATAACATGATCTTGAAAGTGATTTTATCTTGGGTAGGACAATGGATTTAAACACTTCTTATCTGTCTGTATTTTCTTTTTTCTGTAGATGTTCATTCTTCAAAGTTTTATTACAGAAAATTTCACACATACAGATGATCTGAAAGAAATACACAGGAAACACTTGTAGCCTGTACTCTCAGAATCAGCAATTAGCATTCGCTGTATGCTTGTAGTTTTTCCTGAGCCACCTGCAGCTGAGCTGTAGCCAGCAATTCACCCCCTCACCCAGTCCAATCTCAAAGTCATCATCGCCCCCAAGAGGTGAATTCCTGATGGCGTCTCATTCTGGATTGATTCTGGGATATGGGAAAGCATAAAAGAACAATAGTAACTTTGAATAAAAGTGAACATGCTAGACCACACTTATGCATCTTCTAGTCTTAGGAAGAGCAGGAAGTTACAGGTCTTGATCCCTGGGCCCTGGTGCCTCCTGCAAATCCACAGTGTGCATGGGGGGCACTGTCTCCATTCCCTCTGGTCTGATCTGCAGCCAGACCTGAAGCAGGGGAGAAGGGATGAACGGGGAGGACACAGGAAGCTCCTGGAGTTGGTCTAGGATGAGCAGTCCTTTTCCAAAATGCTTGGGACAGAAGGGTTTTGGATTTCAATTTTTTTTTTTCAGATTTTGGGATGGTTGCATAGATTTACATCTAGATGCTCCCTTAAAGACACATGCACTCATAGGCAGGACCTTTGGTGGGTGACTGGATTATAGGGGTGTCAGAGCTGATTTGCTGTTGGGAAGTGGGGTTTGTCCGAAGAGGTGGTCACCATGGGTGTGACCTGACAGGTGTATCTCCCTTCCATCTCCTCCCTTCATCTCCTCAGACTCCTGCCCACCAGGCCCCACGAGTTCTGCCATGGAGCCAGCAGACTACGGACTGAAGTGTGAGCCAAAATAAGCCTTTCCTCTTCTAAATTTCAGGTGTGGAGCATTTTGTCCTAGTGAGTTAGAAAGTGACTAAGACAGACATAGCAAGAGGTCCTGGGGACAGAGCCCACGTCCAAATACAAAATTTATGCATGTTTCATGGATGCCTCATACACATAGCTTCAGGTCACTTCACACAATATTTTTGGCGTGCCTATGTCTTCTCTACAGCCCATCACATGAGGTCAGGGGCAGAATTTTCCACTTGTGGCAGACATCATGTCAGGGTTCAAAATGCTTGAAATCGAGCATTTGGGATTTGGGGTTTTCAGATTAGGGCTGTTCAGGATGTGCAGGGTGAAGCAGTAAAAATTCCAGATCGGGGTGCAGTGGAAGGAGAAGGGGTGGAGTCCAGGGTCTGGGAAGGCACAGGTCGGGGCAGAGAGGAGTGTTTCCCCCTTCACAGATGACCACCCCACACGGAACTCAGAACTCCTTCAAGGTCCCACCTGGCTGGTACTGCGAGGGACAGCTTTCCCCAAAGGCAGGGTCTGTTTCTCTTGCATTCTGTCTCCCAAGTTGTTGAAAATCCTGAGATGGGCTTGATTTGCTCAGGTTGTCACCGTGGAGCTATGCGTGTGGTGAATAAATGAAGTTATTTCACTGAGTCCATTTCTTCAAACTGTAGTTAAAAATTCAATGGCTTTTGTAAAATTTCAACTTTAATCTGTAATCTTCATATTCCTCTTAAAATGGAATTCTGCGGAAGTAGTAATAGAAGGCACTCAAATTTGGAATCTTCAGCACAACATGAATAGATGGCCCAGTCTCCACATTGATTTAATGTGGTGGGGAGTTATAAAGGTGTAAATCGAATATCTCCAGAAGAGATAACAAATGTCAGGGAGTGAGCCAATGCCGTGATTGCTGATGGCAGGAAGACTTTGCTGCTCATCGAGTGGGAAGGGTCCCATCTGATACCTACAATGTCAACAGCTTCCTATAATTGCAGGGAATTTGAAGTGAAAATTCATTTTATTTTTTTCCACTGTACGTCCCTCATTTTGTCATAGTTTAGACATTTTTCCTCTCAAAAGCTAAGGACTAATGCTCATCAGAATGCAAATTTACAAAGAATCTGATGTAACCCTCGCCTTTGATGTACAAAGAAATTTGCTTAACTTTCTTGCTCTTTCAATTTACTTTTCATGCATCTTCTCTAATTTCCAATTCCATGTAAATTTGCTGCGAAGTACGAGGAAAACATTCCCACGGTTCTTATGTGTGAAACAGACGTGGTGTTTTCAGTTTGAAAGGGTTGCTTGGGCTGCAGTCCAGGTGCGGTCCTGCCCCAGGGACCTGCTGGCATCACTGGAGCCCACATCCCAGCGGCCACTCAGCTGTCAAGGTGTCTTGGTACCTCAATGCCGTGGCACGGTTCCGCTCGCCACACAGGGATGCCTACCAGAACTGAGCTGGCAGCTGCCACCGTGCACAGGCGATCTGTTCTGCTGAGACCACGTCCATGGCTGTTTCCTCCCGCAGGGGCGGGGACTTTGGGGGCTGGAGGTGAGGTGCAGGTGCTTGTTGGCCATCTCCTCCTCATGCTGTGTTGAATGTGGTTCTGTTCCGTCTCCAGGCCATCCTCGGCCTTTGTCTCCACTCTGCCCTGCATGGATGTCCACTGCCCTGGACACCCTGTCCAGATGACCGTGTCTCCTCATGCAGGTGGCCTGGGATTTGTGTGGCTCGAGACACTGTGGTCCCCACTCATCTGGTCCTCAGAGGAGGGAGTGGGTGACCACAAGGCTCCTCAGGGTGGGTCCAGTCAAGAGAACGTTAGCTCGGGCTGTCGGGAGTAGCAGAGCCTGGCAGCTCCCTGTTCCCCCGAATGCCTGCCCTGCATGCAGGCACCCCTGCTGGGGTCCTCTGAGTGCCCCTCCCCAGGCCAGGGTCTGCTCTCCACAGCTCTGGATGGCTGGGTTGCTGCTGCTTCCACTTTATGCCGTCTCTCTCTGGTTTTGTGTTAATGTGAGAACCCCAAACCTCCCCTAGCACTTCATTGTGCGTGTGGAGGACAGGAAGCCTGTATGGTGGGGTCAGCAAAAGCTACAAGTGCTGGGCTTGTGACAGTTCCTGTCAACCACAAAGGACAGAAAGAATCCAGATGCCATCCACCCACTTCACTGCTATTATGAATCAAATCCCTTTTTTTTTGATACTAGGGATCGAACTCGGGTCCTTGCGCATGCTTGCAGGGCAGGCGACAGAACCACTGTACGCTGAGATTATGAAGTCACCGTTTGGGCAAAAATTCCTGCAATGGATATTTCAATATTCAGAGCTCAGACTTTTGGCCTGATGAGTCACTTAATTTCATCTTTATTTAAAACGTGCTGAGACTAATGACTATCTGGTGCTAAAGCCAGAGCCAGTGGAGGTCACCTGACTACCACGCACTGCGAGGGAAACACCTGGACCACTGGACGCCGCGCGGGTTTCCTGCAGCTCTGGGAGAGCAAGCATCTCCTCATCTGACTCCTGAAATGGGAAACCTCGCGACGCTGCGTGTCTGTCCCTGTCCTGCGTGCTCCAGGCTCACAGTGTGCGCCTGCACTGAGTGAGCGGTGAGACCGCACACCCAGGCTGTGGAGCAGGGCTGTGTGCGGGCCACTGTGGCCCGGCCTGGCCTCTTGCTGCTCCCTTGTCCCCCATGTCATGAGTGCAGAGCTCCCGGCCAGGCCACAGCGTGGTGAAGGCACTGACGCTTGCCTGCCTGCCAGGAGCCAGGAACCTCCCAGGAGGCGGAAGGCAGCCCTGTGCCTGGGAAACTCTGTGCCAGAGTGTGGCGAGGCAGCACAGGGCTCGGGAGGCCAGGAAGCACTGAGAGACGCCGCTCCTGCTCGGCCCTGCACTTCATCCTTCGCCCTCTGCTGCTGCTTGGCCAAACGCAGCTGCCCTCCAGGCCAGAGCAAAGCCTCCCACTCCAGGAGTTTTCCCAGCTGAAGGCCTCTCTGGCACTCTGACTTCTTCTCTTTCTCGGTGTGTGTCCATGGGGACAGTAGGAGGATGAAACCCAGAGCCTGCACCCTGCACTGTATCTCTGGTCCTTGCCACTTTTTATTTTCAGACAGGGTCTTGCTAAGTTGACCAGCATGGGCTCAAACTTGCAGTCCTCCTGCCTCAGCCATCCAGAGTGCTGTGAGCCACCATGCCCAGCTAGATTTTGCCTTTGTGTGGCTTTTATGGGCACTTTTCTCACCGCGTCAATGCTTTCCATTGTTGCTCCTGGTTTTTTCTCCTGTTCCCACTCAGGCTGTATCCTTACTGCTTTTGAATTATTTCTGTCTATCGATTCACTGCCCGCAAAAAGTGTCTAATTGATTCCTGCTGAGGGCACACAATGATGAGAGGGTGTGGAAGACGACCAAACATTCAAAACCAGTCAGCAAAGCACATTTATGGAAACGGAATTGGGAGCTGCAGACGTTCTCCAAGCACTGCCCTGGTGTGAGCAGCACGTTCTGGATGCCCAGCGAGACTCAGGCGGGCAGAGTAACACCTTTGTACCTGCAGGGACGATGCCTCACTGCTGACTTGGGGCCCTCCACTGGGGGAGTTGGGCTGTGTGTGCAGCGCACAGCATTTCCTGTATTTTCCATGCTGGAAGCCATGAATGCCAAGCATAAGAAAGAAATGGAAAACCATGATTGCCCAATATAAGAAAGAAATGGAATCCATGAAACAGATTCAAACAGATATTCAGGAGATTAAACATTCCACTGAAAGCATGCAGAGCAAATTAAGGGAATCTGAAGCTAGAATATCAGATATAGAAGACAGGATTGAGGTTAAGGACCATGAAAACAGAGATTTCTTAAAAACAGAAAGGCACCATGAGAAATCAATCCAGCAGCTGTTAAATGATGCAAAGAAGAATAACATAAGACTGATAGGAGTCCATGAAAAAACAGGAGAAAGTACAATTGACATAAAAAACTGTTCACAGAAGTAATAGTAGAAAACTTCCCAGACAGAGGTGGAGAATTGGACATACACATAAGTGAGGCATACAGCACTCCAACTAGCCACAATAAAAAAAAAATATCTATACCTAGACATATAATAGTCAAGATCCCAGAAACCCAACAGAAGAACAAAATCCTACAGGCAGTTAGAGAAAAGAAATCACCTACAAAGGAAAGCCCATCAGAATCATGGTAGACTTCTCAACACCAACCCTCAAATTAAGGAGAGCCTGGAGTGAGGTATTTCAAGCCCTAAAAGAAAATAACTTCCAACCTAGACTGTTGTATCCTGCAAAATTATCTTTCAAAATCAATGAGGAAATTAGATACTTCTACGACAAAGAACACCTGAGAAATTTCACGAACACCAAACCAGCACTCCAAACAATTCTAAGCAATATCCTAGAAAAAGACAATGAAGGTCACAACTCCATGAGGCCCAATAGAGGGAAGCCACCAGGCAACGTAAGACACTAAAGGGAAAGGGAGAAAAAAAGAAAAGAGCCAACAACAGTAAAACATGACAAGGATGAGCCAATATCTATGAATTATAACTATCAATGTTAATGGCCTCAATTCACCAAT